TCTAAACACATGACCTGCCATTTTAAGTACTGTAGCAATATCAGCATCTATAGCACAACCATATTTAATTCAAGAACAGGTTACACCATGTGACCCTAAAAAAGAGATCATGACGATTGCCCATTGACATTTCTCCGTCGATTTCATCCCTAAAAACTACCCCAAGTACTTACCTAATGTGAATGTGATCAAATTTGGTGATCTGATGCAATAATATTTCTCACTGATCTAGATTGAGCTAAGCACGGAGGCAATTTGAGTCCCTTAGGCTGGTTTTGTTGGATTTAACTCAGACAATTCGATTCCTGATCTCCATATGAATTGCAAAGATTCCTTAAAGATATTTAGTCTTGAAGCTATTCCAGGTATCAATACAAACCAACCCTGCACCCATATACAAAGTCATTCAAATGGAAGAGTTTAATCACATTCACTCCAACAAAGCCAAATGAGCGAGCATAATTTTCTATTCACAAATATCCTTGTTACAGATTCCGAATATAATTGTGATTTACATCATTAGTGTTAATTAATTAAATGTGCTACGAGAAAGCTATCAAATTGATTTATTTAATTCATTTCATTATATTTGACTGTTGATCTGTCAATAATGCAATTTAGCTTGACATCATTTACATTTAATTGAATTTTTATTTTAATTTGCTCGAATTTGTGGAATTTTTCATTCATGGATGCAATAGACATCCATAAATTCCATTTTTGTGGTTCTTTATCTGAATTTAAATTTGTTATTTTTATTGAAATATATTGAATATGTGGATTCTGTCATGCCATATACAAAAATTTCCATTATATTAAATAAAGAATGATAGAAGCGATGAGCCTTAATGGAATTTACTCTGTTTGGAATTTTTCAAATATTACCTCAATGATCATCGAATTTCTATCACGTAGATGTTTTTATACAGCATTCTTTTCTTCATCTAGTGGCTTCAACTTGTTTTGTTGTCTTGGCAATGTCAATTACATTTTTTTGGTGAATTATATTTAACCCTGAATGACTGGTTATATGCTTGCTATTTGTGGATGTGATACTAGGCTTGTGTGCTTTTGAGATTGATTGAAGAGGAAATTGACAAAATTGGTTGACGATTTTGAGGAATGAAGGATGTAAAGATATGGCAAGTTTTGTGGAGGTGGAAGAGGGTTCTTATGCAAATAATTTTATTTCTGGAGAAGTCGGTAAAGTGCTGAACTCACATTTGGCATAATACTTCAAAAGTTGTGGGTTTGAATCCAATGAAAGCCCAAATTGCTTTCTTAAATGTTTAATTACTGTAACTACATAGATGAAGCGATCATGATGCAACTTGAGGTCTAAACAATTTTGGATAAAATAATGGGTCAGAAGCAAGGGCGTGGAACTGAAGAATTCCATTTTGATCATTTTTGATCACTTTTTTGATCATTTCATCAGTACCACACCTTTGGTCAGAAGCATGAAGTATAGGAGCCTTCCTATAAATAAAAGACACAAAAAGTCAGATATTAGCTATAAAGGCTCATAAATGTTCAAATAAAACTCAGTACTGGGGGTCCTCGATTTGAGTAGATTCTATTTGAGTAGATTCGATTTGAACAGAAAAATTTTTACCCACCAAAATATTCGATTTGAGTAGATTCCTTCCTGTTTTCTTCGATTTGAATTGTTTACAAAACAAATATTTTTGATAAAAACATTTCAGAAAATATTTTTAAAACATAAATTTTACTGCAATAAGCGTGAACTTATCACATTGATAGAAAAATCAATTCTAAAGTTACAAAATTAAAGTAAAAATTTAAAAAATCGATATAAAATTAACGGTTTTAAAAAGTTCAAATTCAAAAACCTTACAAATTGTTCAGTGAAATAACATTTGCAAGGTTCTCATATTTTTGTTTTGTTTCAAAAACACATTTTTTGTGAATTTCTGGTTAAAAACAATAAGAATATGCGTTGAAATAAATTAAGTTATCTAAAACACATAGGTAAAATTAAGAAAATAGGTAAAATGTGCAAAAATGATCAAAATTTTCATTGTTTTGATACATTTTTTGGACTCTGGAACAAAACATGTAATTTTGTATTGATTCTTTGCCTCGATTTGAATAGATTCGATTTGAGTAGAAGTTTTTTGGAACAAAACAACTACTCAAATCGAGGACCCCCAGTACACATATGACTAGCTTACAGTTGCTGTGCTTTAAAAATAAGGGGACGTTCTCTAATGACGTTCAAGTATATACTTCATTTTGAGCTTAAGAACAGAGGTTTATCCAGTAATTATTCAAAAAGTAGTCTCAAATTTTAAGTTTAAGGATTTTTTCAGACACAAGTTTTAAACACAAGGAGGTCCTAATCGTCTGAGCCTCTTTAAACCTACTTATACTATGCTAATAACTTGAGATAATCAACATATCTACTCTTCTTATAACTACAGTATCTAAGCCAAAAGCTAATCATCATGGCATACAACAATGTGTTCTACTTATTCATCACCAATCATCATATCACCGAAGGCAAATAGAATGCATTATGAAATTACATTATCTTAAAATCATTTAGTCTTAATGACTTCTCATCGTGTGCTGTCAATAACGATTATCAATATTATTGATTAATTTAATATTATGTTAAATACATCAACATCCCACGTTCAGCATCAACAAACTTCTCATTTTTTTTTTTGAATGAAATTTATTTATTTTGATATTGAATGATAATCGATCATCCTTTAAATGTCCATATGGAGGTGTAGTTCTCTAGGGTTTCTGAAATTGCATACTCGCTTAATTGCACGTAATTAATAAAACGAAAAGTTGTTCATGAAATTAATTTATTAAGCTTTAGAAATGATAATATTGATCCTTAATTATATCAATCGATTTTCCATAGACAATTAATTATTGATTATAGCTTTAGACACGGACAATCTAAGTGCTTGTGAGAAAACAACTCAATTATCATTATGAGATTTATGCCTTGCTGATTGCTTTTTTATCGTTTATTCATCTTCAGTCTAACTTCCTGGGATCTAATTATTACTTCTATGCAATCTTTCATTACAATTTCCGAAACTTATCGAAGTTTCATTAGATTATAATGAAACTATGTTATAAGTAAATGACACTGTTCTTAGAGGCAGTTCACTTATGGCTTCTGGGGGGGGGGGGGGGGGTGTTCTTCAGCAGAAAATAACAATAGAATTCCTGGAAATCCGTTGTTTTTTTTAAAAAAAAATAACCGTTAACTTCGGACGTCATTAGTGGATGGGTTCAATGATGGCTTTTAAATTTTGTTAGGAATGAAGGACATTACTTAACCTATAACAGCAGACTCTTTGGATGTTTTGGTCGGTATATGTGATTTTTGCAAGGGGGAAACACCATGATGAGGAAAAGATTTCATTTACCAATTTTAAAACAATTTTTCATCAAAACTAGGTTTTTAAAATTTCTTTTAAAATTTCCCCATTATGTTGTTTTCCCCTTAGAGTTTTGACATAGAACAAGTATAATAGATCTAAAAATACCATTTATTGTTTCTCATCTAATGACTTTACCATATTAAAATGAATTTTTTATGTCAATTATTTCATAATTTACTGGGGGTCCTCGATTTGAGCAGATGTTTTGTTCCAAAAAATTTCTACTCAAATAGAATCTACTCAAATCGAGGACCCTCAGTACTTACAAACTTTAAATCCTTTTAAATCCAAAGCGTTTACATTTAAAAGCTTCAATTTCAATTCTGACCGAACTTTAATAATTATTGCAACTACTTGGAGCACTCTCAAAAGAACCAAAAATCAATTAATTATTCATGATGATTTAAACAGTTTGGATAGACTCAAAATATCTTCCTTTAAGATGAAATTAAATCCTTAAAAGCGAGAGAAAATTTTCAGCAGATTTAAGCACAAGATGTTCTTAATGAGAATTCGTTCTGTGTTTCTGGATTTTAATGAAATCCTAGGCTGATTATTCGAATTGATTATTTTGTAAGCTGTTTTATTTTTGTGAATTTTCAATATGGTTCGCTGATTTTTAAAGGTTGAGGTTCTTTGCAGGACTCTAACTAGAGAACTAGAGAATCCACACTTATAATTCCGAAAACCATTAAGCCGACCTGTTAAGGTTCGAACATACAAACACTGAATCAACCAAAGCAACTAGATCACTACGCCAACATCTCATTAAAGTCATAAGATGCAAAATCCAATATTCATCGAACATCCCCCTTCCCCCCAAAAATTTACTTAATCTTTACTTTAAGAAAATCATTTTAAAAAACATTTTCCAAAATAAAAAAAATCAATTTTAAGCATGAAAATGTTTACTGAATGGTTGGCAATAAAATCCTCATTAAGCATCTTGATTGCAAAAGGATTGAAAAAGTTTTTATCTTCTTTGTGCTTTGTTCTCTTATTTCCAATATTTTATTTTGTGGCATGATTGTCGAAAAAAAATTTAATCAAAAAATATAAATTCCCTGATGAAAACTTTTTGATCCTTAAGAATGATAAATGATACTTAATACACATGTTGTTGCCACAAAATACAAGCTTCATATTTTCCCTCAGCAAACAAATTTAATGTCGAGAGAGTCTTCATCATTAAACTTCATTTAATAATTAACGAAGTGTCTGTAAAGTGATATTAGTTGGTGCTGAGCTTAAAGTTAAAATTCATGAATGGAAAGGAATTTCATTAAAAAAAAAATGGTTAAAAATTCAAGAAGCATTTTGCTCTTTTCAAACAACGAAGAGACGACTACGACGATGATGAAAAAGAAGACAGAACTAATTGCATTGTAAAGTAATCCCAGCAGTTAATATAAGTGATTGTAATTTGAGTTTAATTACATGCAATGAGGAGCTTTTAGCTGATTCAGCGTATGGATGCATGGGGGTTCGTTGACTTGTGATGTTTGATATCTGATTTTGATCTTTGAATCTATATTCGCTTTCCAGGAACAAGATTAAAATATTGAAAACATGAAACGGACTTCTGGATCTAGATACGGACTTCAAGATCAAGATTACGAACTTCTGAATCTAGATTTTGATCTTAGAATTAAGATTCGGACTTCTGAATCTAGATTTGGATCGAAAGAACTAGATTTTGATGTTACAATAAAGATTCGGACTTCTGAATCTAGATTTGGATCAAAAGAACTAGATTTTGATCTTAGAATTAAGATTCGGACTTCTGAATCTAGTTTTGGAGCTAAAGAACTAGATTTTGATGTTACAATTAAGATTCGGACTTCTGAATCTAGTTTTGGATCGAAAGAACTAGATTTTGATCTTACAATTAAGATTCGGGCTTCTGAATCTAGTTTTGGAGCTAAAGAACTAGATTTTGATCTTACAATTAAGATTCGGACTTCTGAATCTAGATCTGGATCGAAAGAACTAGATTTTGAACTTACAATTAAGATTCGGACTTCTGAATCTAGTTTTGGAGCTGAATAACTAGATTTTGATCTTGAAATCAAGATATAGTATTCTAGTTTTGGAGTTTACTTCAGGGACTAGATTCGATCAAAAAATATCTATTCTGCCAAAATAAAAGATAAAACTACCAATGTTTGCTAGACATCACTTATAAACGATCCCCAACATTGCTCTAAAAGTCTCATCCACTCTACCTTAAAAATCAAGTGCAATGAACTCAACCTTACTGCTTGTGGGATAATTTACAGTTTACATTAACTTTGTTTATTGGCATTTATCTGCATGATTTACTTCTCAGCATCTCCAGAAATTTTATACTCTTAAATATTTTGAAGCTATTTATTTCTCAATGATGATTGCAAGGTACACATTGGTGTTATGGAATTACGAAACTCAAAGGTATCATGTTGCCATTGTTTACATATACTGAATAACATTCCGAAATAAATCCCCAGATAACTCATGTTTAGTCTTTCTTGCTTACATGAGACGAGGCTTATGTACCGAATGTCTGTCAAATCACCTTCAGAAGGCTTACTCTGTGATGGAAGCTGATATCATGAAGAAGAAAAACATTCATGTAGCTTGAGTAGTTGATGTTTACTGGTTAGTTGACAAGACATGTGTCTGTGTCTAGGACAGCATTGTAGGCAGCATTATTCTGTATCATAGTAAAGTTCAGCTAGCATACCCTTCCACTGGAGCTAGCGAAGTAGCCAAAGTAACTTACTGAGTTGATACATCTCTAATCTATGCTGCTCGGGATTATGTTCCATTTTATTTGTCAAACTTGCAAGAACTTCTGTCTCAAAATTCATCATTACATGACAAATTGTGTTGGACATACTAATGAATAAAAAAAATCCAAAGAATCTTATGTTCCAGTCATGTTATTTTTGATGACATTGTTTCCTTTTGTTGACAAATTTCAATAAGTCTTTCTCAGAATTTTAAAGACGAGACATATTGATGATTTTCATGAAGTATCTACTCAAGATAAGGCATCCATCAACAAAAGAATGAATTTTGTTTGATATTGTCAAAAAACAAAATTGTATTCAATAACAATGAATCAGGGGGGTAACAACTTGATGGGTAATTTTTCCAAAAAATAGTGGGAAACGAGGGGGCAACAATAAAATAGGATTTTGTGATAGTCATGATAACTGTTTTGAATCTTTTGTGAATTTTTCCCCCATATGTTGTTACCCCCTCCCGATATCAAACTGTTGCATTAAACAATTATCCACTGCTGGCTTGATGATGGGTTCCTATTGCTTCACTATGAAGCGTAGGGCGTCCACAAAGCATTTGAATCGCACTCGATTCTGGGCCAAAGCAGTTATTTTCTGCAGCTTCTTGTTCTGTTGTTCCGCCTCCCGTTCAACAGTTGTACGCCAAGTAATTCTCCGTCGGCCCCTAATCCTATTTCCTTGAACATTCCAGAAAATCGCTTGTCTCACGATGTCTGTATGGTCTTTCCTTAATGCATGGCCAATCCAGTTCCATTTCCATTTCCCAACTTCGTCTGCAATAATTTGTTGTTTAGTCATTGCGTACAGCTCTGTGTTCCTTATTGTTTGAGGATAGTAGATGCCACTGGCTTAATTATTTATAAAAATTTGAAAATATTTCCTCAATTTTTCCCCACCAAGTTGTTATCCCCCTGTAAAATACATATGCTTTACCATTTTCCTACAAAAGTATATCCATCATCGTTTTGTAAGTTGCTTAAGAAGAAAAAAATGTAAAAAGGCAAAAGACCTCACATACATGACAAACTTTTCTACCTTTACAAAATGATGTGCTGTGAATTCCTTTTACGTACAATTAGATTACATGACAACCTTCTTTTCTGTTCGTAAAGCTGTGGTTTTGGTGCTGTGGTGAAACGAATTCATGTTTAACTTTTGAAATTTTGCCAAATGTTTATTGGATGCGATAGAGGTTGAATTATGCTTTAACAAACTTTCCGAGACACTCTTCCCTCAATAAATTTGTCTTTATGCTCGTACTTCTTGCTTTTTCCTCTTTTTCATTCATTCCAAAAAAAAGTTTTATGATTGTTTTATGCTAATGCGTCTGCTGGTCGTTCCTATTTCTTTGGAACTCATTTGTGGTTCGTTTGGATGTTATGGATTAGAAAGGTGGGGAATAGAGGGGACATGTATACATGTTGGATGGTAGGGTTAAGGAAATAGAACATAAGTCTGTGATAGGTTTTTTCGGGGGGGACAACAGCATGGTGAATAAAAATGATGCAAATTTTTACGCCATTTTCTAAAATTTTGAGTCTTATGACTTTACCATTGACAAGCCTTAGAAACTCTTATTATCCCTTCTCAGTATCACCACAGGCTCCATAACATCCAAATCAACCCATTCTGACTCTAAACATTCAGGACAATAAATTATGCAGCTGATTATTATGAAAAACCACAAATCCAGTCGTATCAAAATCAAAATCTCATCATTGCTAATGTTTTGTTCGTGCTACTGTCATTATGCACGAATATATTTGTTTTTGTGATGTTTAGGAATGTCAAAAAAAATTTTTTTTATTGCTTTTATTTTTTTACAACGTACATTAATCCCGTCGAGTTTAATGTGTGTACAAATTTTTCTTAATAATGTGAAATTGTCTTGAGATGCAGCAAAAAATGTAAATAATATGTTTTGTTTGTGAAATTTTTTCTGGCAAGGCTGGAAACTTTTGGGCTCAATTCAAGGGATGGAGTTAAAGAATACTATAGACCAGTGGTTCTCAAACTGTGTACTGCGACACACTAGTGTGCTGTGAAAAAGTTCCAGGTGTGCCACGAAAATAACTGCTCTAGACAAGTGATGATCAACCCATGTGCCGCGGCACACTAGTATGCCAAGGAAAAAAATCATAAAATTTCAATAACCATGTGCCGTGTGCAGCAGCTTTAGTCATGGCTAATCATCAAGGTGCGCCATTTCACGAAAAAGATTGTTCATTACCAGTGGCGTAGCCAGGAATTTTAAGAGGGGGGGGGGGGGGGTAGGAGTTTTTTTAATTTTTTCATAAAACTCTTAGGAGCCGTTCAAAATGTAACATATGGGGGGGGGGTCAAGAAGTATGTAACGCTCTATCATTTATGAAAAATTATCAAAATAAAATAAATTTTGAACGTTCAGGGGGGGGGGGGGGGGTGTTGAGATTTGTAACATATTGTAACAAGGGGGGAGGGGGGGGGGGGGTGGGGGTGAAAAAAGTCGTTCTTTTAGCGTAACGTTAACGTTGTGGGATTTGTCCCCCAAATACCCCCTCCCCCCCTAGTTACACGCCTGGTCATTAATGCTCTAGACCATACCTATATCTATACTCCCCAATCATCCCTTGTCTATTTTATTCTCAAAATTCAAAAAATTCTTTAAAACTTCCTTTTATGTCACGAAAAGATTTATACCTAGATATACGGATCCATTACAATTTAATATATTTTATGTGGTTTTATTTGATTTTATGTTATTTATTTTGTATTCCTTTATCAATTCGTATATTTTGTGCACAAATCTTGAGATTCTGTTCATACATCCTCTGATTGTTGATCTGTCTGCACGTCAGTACCTTTTTAGAAAACGTGCCGATGGATAAAAGAACAAGATTTTTCTTTGCTGTGCTTAAAAAATTTCAATGATGCGAGTTGAAGATTTTTATAGCGTTTTTTTTGGAGTAAATTGAAAAGTTTCTAGAAAATTTTGTTGGATTTTCGGAGAAAATGATTTAAAATTAAAGTTTTTAAGAAGTCTCGAAGATGTCAACATTACTAATATCCTAGAGGCATTTAGTGATGAGTTTTTCAAGAAATTGTTTTGTGTAAGTTTGATCTTGAGAAATATTAAAATTATAAGAATGAAGTGAGATCCTTGAAATACAGAAGAAAGTAAATCTGTTGATTTGCCTAATTGTTATTGATTCAAGGTTGTATGTTTCAATTAAACGAAATTTAAACGTCATTTACAATATTTTTACATTATTCAAATGAAAATTTGCAACCAAAAATGTGAACAAAAAAATTTAATACATTGTTAAATATAAATTCAAGCTTTTTCATGGCTTCAAGCTACATTGTTGCAAATCCATCATCCAAAAACCATTTAATATGAATTTTAATCAAGCCTTGAATGTGCTTTTTCATGTAAATTTTTAAAAGATAAATTGACAAAATCCTGAATTTATTGAAAAGGCACAAAATTTACTGTTTACGCCACAAAGAAGAATCTGCTGAATTTTTTACTTCTAAATTTATTCTTCCTTTACGCAAAAAATTCAATTTAGCAATGCCATACAATCATGAAAATGTTCTTCCGATGGGAAAAAGAGAGAAAAAAGAAAATTAAATTCAAATTTCACGCGAGAGATTCTTGAAGGGCAGGGATGAATCTTTAGGATTAAGATTTAAGTGGACTGGGGGAGAAAGGAAAAGGACTAGGGCAGTGATGTAGACATGAAGCAATGTAGAGCTTCAGAAACACTCAATTGAAAATTTTTATTAAGGAGTGGGTTGAGGGGGGGTGGGTTGTGGTTTTTACGAATTGATCTTTGTTATGTCTGAGAAGCATGAAAATTGTTGATGATGCGACAGGTAAGCTTTCAACATGGTAAAGAAAGTCTAAAGGTAGGTTAAAAGGAAGTCTAAAGAGAGTCTGCAGAGAGTCTTAAGGAGTTATAGAAGGAATCAAAGTAATGTTTAAAAGGAAGTCTAAAGGAGGTCCAAAATAGATCTAAAAAGATCTTAGATTTTTCATACAATCCTTGTCTAGCTTGACATTCTCTGTCAGAGAGCAAGGAATCAATAGCATCTGAGGATACCCCAACGACAGTTAATGATGACACTAAAGGAGACCTTTGACTACCTTCCATCTGATAGCAATGCCATTAATGATTTCAAGTGTAGAATCGCTAAATAGTTGCTACAATGACTCCCTCTCCCTTGACAACATCTCTGAATCCTCATGAAACAAAAAATTCGATTCAATAATTTTCATTTTTTTTTAATTTCACGTCTCATTTTTGCTTTCTTGCACAAAAATAAAATTTATTTCAAATCATCGTTGATAATAAAGCATGGAATATGACGGAGATAGATTTTAATACATTGTATGAAAGCACTTTCAACTGATAACAAGAAGAAGCTCATTTCAATTTTGAACAGATTCTTCTCGTTTACTCATTTCCAGAAAATTGAAAATGTCAGAAAACTTTAATGCGGAACAAATGCTGAATTGTGTCAAGAAAAATCTCTGTTGTGTATTTTGTATCATAAAAGTTATTAGGATAACTTTCAAAAGTTTTGTTATTCATGTCATTAGCAAAAATTGAGATTTTTTTTGAAGATTTAAAAATTGATTGAGTTTGGGTTGGCAATTGATGGAATGTAAAAATTGAAAGTGACATTTTTGGAACAAATTAGGGTGTTTGATCTTTCTAGGGTCACTAAAGTGTAGGTTATCTTCAATAAATAGTCTATAAAGTCACCTACAACGATATAAAACTCGATTCACCATAATTTGTGTAAAACTCACCACAATTAATGCCAAAATAATCTCAAATAACAAAAAATCACCACAATTGATTTAAAAACTGTGTAAATTCCCTTCAGCTTTCAGAAATTTAAATTTCGGTCCTTAAAAAGGTATTCATTGAGGATTTATGACAGCACATCCTTTCAAGATACGATCATTCAATATTTAAATTCTCCTTTATTTAACTGGATGCTTTCAAAAGGTAGAAAAAAATAGAAAAGGTCAAGTGAGGTAGATAATATAGTAAATTGGGGTAGGCACAGTAAGAGATCATTCAGTTAATGATGGTGCAAAAAGTATCAGAAAGCAATTTAAAGACTTGCATAGAAAAATCATTGGAACTTCAAGATAATCTAGTCCATAAATAGATTTTAATCTTAATTTATATTTAAAACCCAAATTTAAATTCTATAAAAAAAAATCATACTTAGATTTAGGGTCGTTCATAAATAATGTCAATTGAAATTTAAGATTTTTTTAGAAATTTCCGACAGAATTTACTCAGGGGCGTAGCCAGAAAATTTTTAAGGGGGGCCCATTTTCGAAAATTAAAAAACCGTTATTTTGTATCCTTAAATCTATATTCATTTTCATTCTCAAGTATCTCCTTTGTTATGCGCTTAATATTTCTCTGACAGAATGAAATAAATAAGCAATAATCCGCTAGTAAGAAGTTCACGATGGTTGCATTTGTCAGTGGTTCTCAAATAGTAATCCACGAGACGAGGATTTTTATGATTAGAAACTTAAAAAGATAATTTAAGGAAGTGACGTAGCTAGTGACGGGAGTTGGGTTGAGGTGGGGGACGTTAGAAAGCCCTAATCCTCTAACTGAAAATTAAGTTAAGCACAAAACTTTCCAACAAGTTCATCATCAGTGTGCCGCAGCACTTACCTTGAAAACCACTGGTACACGCACTAAGATTCGGATGATTTAAGTCAAATAATATATTATATTGCTTGAAATAAGAAAAAGAGAGGAAGCAAGAACAAGAAAGGAATAATAAAAAGAATTGTCTGTGAATCTCAACAACAGGCGAAATATTTTGACAGATATGCTCATCCCAAAATGATTTATATACGATTAACATCATCACAATCTTACACATGTACACGAAACAGACTATAAATGCTACTCAAGAATGTTCAGTTTTTTTTTATTCAGAATTTTCTGTTGAAATTGAATAAACATCAAGAAAATTAAATAATGAGAGTTGACGCGCACATGTTGTTGACCTCTCCGCCCTACATTTATGAGGATTTGTATATGCTAATTTTTTTAAAACTCATTTCGCATGCTGTTTGCTTAACTCTTTTTTGTTCATTTCTTACATCCCACCTACAAAAAAGTCTTTGTTTTTATAATTTACTGTCTACCTTTTTTTAACTGCTTCTCGTTATCATAAATTAAGTATTTTCTTGCTAATTGTTTAATTGACGATTTAATACGTAATCCGACAATCTTTTTAATATTCAGTTCATTTATAAAGAGCTTTTAGCGCATTCTTGAAACTTGTTTCGAAAAGGTAGCTTAATTAAAGAGAGTTCTGGTTTGTTTTATTAGCTAAGATCCATTGTTTTATTTCGAGGAATCGTATTTAAAAGTCTTGAAACAGTGTTTTTGTACTATAATTAATGATTTTTATATTTTTTATGAAAAAACACGTGATGAGAGCGTTTAGAAATTTGAATTCATTTCTACCGTTGAAAAATTTTGCTGTATTTTACTACTGAATCCATGTTAATTAATCAATAGTCAAATACTGATCGCTGCGTCAAAATCGTATATAGTTTTTTCGTATTTTGTAATTTTTTTTAAAATTTTTTTAATGAGATTAAAAACACAATTTTTAAATTTCTTTTTTTAAAAGATCTAAATTCACTAAACTCGTGATGCTGAAAATCACATACCCGAATAAATCATCTTTAAAACAAAAATTGTGTAGGTATCCAAAAACAATGCAATTTAGCCTCTCAAAAGGAAAAAAAATTCTCTTAAAAATATTTTCCAAAAAAGAAGATACATTCTTAAATAAAAACACCGCGCGTGTCAGCGCAAAATTGAAAGAATGCTTTAGGAATGTTAACGGCAACAGAAAAAAAGTACGAGCATTTATGTGATTATTAAAGTGTGAAAGCACACAGAAAAAGAAAAAGTTTCTTTAATTGCTGATGAAAAAAATGTCGAGGATTTTTGGTATGTTGAAGGATTTCAGATCATCCTAAGATGTGCTGGAAAGTCTGATTTGATGTTTCAAAAGATTGAGGACATGCTAGGCTATAGTGAAGCTTCAATCAACTCAATCATTGATAATTCCAATTTAATATATCTTAATATGATATCTTAAAGCTTAATAAGCTAGATTTCATAAAATGTATTAGTTGGGGGCCGTTCACTTATTACGTTACGCAAAAAAACGAACTTTTTCAACCCCCCCCCCCCCCCCTCCTGAACGTTCATAATTTATTTTATCATTGAAAAGGTGGAAAATTTAAAAAAATGTTTTTGGTGTGAATTTGTAAACAAATTTTTTTCGTAAACTTTTTTTAAAAGACAGACGACAGTAAGAACGTTACATACTTCTTGACACCTCCCTTCCCCCCTATGTTACATTTTGTTACAATTTTTCAAACCCCCCCTACCCCCTAAAATTTTTTTTTTTTTTTTTATGTTTATGTTTATGTTTATTGCGAACGTAATAAGTGAACAGTCCCTTGTTGTATGTTTCATTTCTGTGAGCATGAATAACCAGCTTGTCTATGAGGGATCAATTACAGTCATTAGATAAACACATTCAAAAATGATGAATTAAGCTCTATTCTGCACATGTGAACCTGCATGATCTCATAGATTAGTAAAATCGGTGCACAGGCAATAGTTCTTGCTCACTTGGTTCTAATTATACTATCAACCCGACTGCCGTGTGGCAAACATTTCAATGAATTTCACTGTGTTCTCATCGAAAAACAAGCAAAATTCTTTTATAAAGAAAAATTCACACAAAATAAATGTCAAAATAAATCATCGCAGCATGAATCACAAAGCCAATCTGTTGACGCATATTCGTCGAAACGGAAAAAAAATTCATTAATTCATCTTGAGATTTATTGGAAGTAGCATTCTTCACAAGTTAAACATCTCCGCGAACGCGAGAGAAAAGATGATTTAAATGTTGCATTTAATTATTTGTCATTTGTACATTTGTATGTTAAGCTATGCATGTATGTGCCTGACTGTATTTTATGACACAAACTGTCACATCGAATTAAAGTCTCCCCTCATTTTTTATGAGCATATTTGGAGCGGGCATTTTTCATCACGCTGATTAACGATCAACAACAATTCATTTCTGTTGCATGCTTGTACTTGTACGTGATTTATAATGCACTGTAATGCTCACTCATTCCATTAGTTATCACTTTCATTTTGACCTTGCATGTGCCATGAGTGAAGAGACATATGTCCAATTGACCAACTTTATCTCTTTGCCTTTTTTAGGAATAAAGCACATGATGTTTACATAAAGATGGAGACAGTATTATGTATTCCTTTATATTCATCAACAACAATCCGATTAATTTATTAAACAATGATTTTTCATTTCGTAACGAATCGATCGAAGAGACATCAATATTGGATATACCTTATAATGATGACAATACGAAGATTAATAAAAATATGAATTTCAGTTTAGTGACAACAGTGCAAGAAGCAGTTGTTGATGCAACGACGTCGAGTGCCAATTTTTCTATGCCAACGGAATATCATGTGGATAAGAAGTTCTTACATGACTTCGGGAATGTCAGTCTAGCTATATCTAAGGTCAGTGTTATACTCACTCTTGACAAATTATGTCAGTCATTATTCTATTTTTATTTCCTTTTCTCATTTTGACAGCTATTCTTTAGCATCACAGCAAAAGCTGCTAATTCGACGAAACATGTTGAGGAAACTGAAGAAATTAATCATTTTTATTTTTATGAGGTTTGTATTGATGTGATTATGAAGCAATAACGAGTGATGAGAATTTTTATGAACTTGGTCAATTTATTTGAGATTGTGATAAATGACGTGAAGCTATTGATTGATAGCTAATGTAAGGGATGATCTACAAGTGATTTTTCAACCAGTGCCAGGCGGGTAGCCAAAAGGGTCTTGACCCGTGCCGTGCAGCGAGAGCACGGCCTCAAACGCTTAAGAGGGGGACAATACCCTCCTGGCTACGTGCCAGACTAGTGGGATTTATAGACCCTCTGTATAGGTCAATTGATTGGAACTGATCCAAATGTTTCTCGGATTGTCTAGCTGATTAGTGAGGCTTTGCTAAGGTAAACGTTGTTTCAATAAAAATGGAATCTTGTGTACCAATCCGTTTCAGGGGTTAAGACAGAAACTATTAGCGAATTTGGAATTTTTTTCATAAAAAATTCTAGTAAATTGAATAAAATTCTCTTCCAAATCTCCTCTTTGGTTACGGTCCTGATCAATATGAAAGCAATTCTGCCAGTTCTGAGGGAAAACTCTTTTGATCAATTGGATTAAATCGAATTAGACCGAATATCTGTTACTTTTGCTTTTTAAAGGGCTTGAGTTCAAATCCTACGATGAGTGGTTATTTCAGTGATTCATGAAATTCCAATTGAAACTTTATAAGTTCTGTTTTATAGAAACAATAATTCTAAATTAAACAAATTATGTAATCTCAAATTTTAATTATCTCAAGCAGGGTTCCGATACAGGCACCTGTGCACAGGCGAGAACCTTACAATTCCTTGATAATTTATTAGGTTATTCTTACAAAACCATACAAGTTCTAATAAAACCACACAAAATATCAAGGAATTGTACGGTTCTCATTTATGCATTTGTGCCTGTATCTCAACCCTGTTCTCAACTTCCACATTTATTTATTTTTATTGATTTAACTTCATTGTCTTCACATTTTATGTTTGAGTCAGCAAACCCTTAAAATATTGTAGATAAACTTTCAAATCCACTACTTTAATGGTTTCATAAAATTTGGAAAGTTCTGAAGATACACGGCCAATTAAACTTCATTATTTCATTATCATAAATTCTGAGAATAGCTCAATTGAACTAATTCTGGTGAAAATGTTGAGGTTTCGATAGAAATTAGGTTAGTGAGAGTGCAAACAATTTAAAGGCTCAAGACCATTTTAAAATACCACAAAACAAGTTTATTTTTAGTCAACGTCATTCACAACCGAATTCCACGATGTATCGCCAGTTAATTAATAAACTTCATTTTCAATTATAAACTTTTTTTCGACACATGAAGTGGGAGCTGACAACTCAATTATTCGAGATATTCTTTTTATTCATAGTTGCTGTCAGAGAAATAAACATTTTTATATTTCGCCAATCTGTTCATTGATGTTCTATTTTTAGTCTGTTGCTTGTTATTGTTACTATGTTTAACAGACTCTATTGAATGGACAGGATTTACTCATCATTTCATAGAATAATTATGTCTGATGTGTAAAGAGTTATTAATAGAATTTCTGGATGGTTCTCAATTGACGCTCATAAAGCAGAGTTGGTGTAAACATGTTAGCACATCCAATAATGTAAGATCAAGATCGTGAGATTCATTAAGAATAGACAAAATTCTGATTTCAAACTTAGTTAAGGTTTGAAATCTTTGCATGTTTTTTTTTGAATGTTAAATTTTGTCCTCAACTTGCGATTGCGTATTTGCAACTCTGAACAGTTGCATTGACACAGGGTGTATCAAAGTTTGCACATCTCAAATCATACAAACCGAAATGCCATGGATAGAACAGCGAAATAAGCACGCAAATCTGACTAGACATTATCTGGGATCGAACCCGAGTCGTTAGGGTTGGTTGGCTAGCACTCTAACCACTACGCTACTGCTCCTTGTTCGCTGCTTATACAACATGTATTTTGGTATCAAATTTAAGTTCAGGAGTGTCTGAGGACTTATTTTAGCCTACATGTCCTCTGATATTCTACAAAGTCCAGTCAATTGTTCTGAATTAACCTCAAGATGCACAATCATATACTTCAAGTAAACAGCAACAATTCCTTACTCTGGAGGATAAAAACAAACTTCATTCTCTTTGTTTTTAGTTGACATGATTGAATAAAGTCATCCAAAACTTATAATTTTGTATAATTTAACGGATGAAAGACTCTTCACATGTTTGATTCTATTTTTGTTGATATAAGATGCTTAAAACATTTCAATAATATTCATACAATAAGGAACAAGAGAGCCATTCAATCCACCTGTCTCATGGATTTATTGTTAATGACAGAATGTTTCATTTAAGGTACTCAACTTAATATTGAAGCAGTAAAATATTTTTTTATTGTTCCTACAGAAAAGCTTAAATGTTGACATAAAAATTTTGTGCTTTGTAAAAGCTGTCGTTGACTTTGGTAATTGATTTCTAGTTGAGTTTTGATTTTTGGTAGTTGTTGCTCAAGAAAACATATTAATAAGTATTAATCCTTGATTTATTTTGCTACGTTGATTCGCATAGAGTGCTGGAGAGCCTATTTCTATTAGAATCTCTTTTATCACACGATCTTCTTAACGAACTCCTTAATTTAAACATTTCGCTGGCCCACCTTTCATCTTCGTCTAAAACTGGCTCTTTTACAGTCTGTCTATTCTAAATTCCAAGTCCAACATTGTCTCTATCTTATCTAAGCCGTTAAAATCTCAATACTCTATCATGACTTCATCTCTTTCCATTTATGCAATTTTAATTGCCACTATTGCTTTACATTTTGCTTAGTTCCTAATTATTATTTTTAAATGATGATGCTCTATTGTCATTTTAATACCTATTGTAGAAGATGTCTTACATTTCCTACACTATAAAATTAGAATTAAAAGAGAATTCAAATCATCGAATGCTATCATCAGCATTATTTCTAAGCCAGAAGCAAATTGTTGCTAGCTCAACCTTTAAGTATTCTTTTACTAGAACAATTACAAAGAATTTTCCACGACAAGTATCCATGGAGACATTTCAGTCTCATTACGACATCATTTTTATAAATTTTTATTTTAAAACTTAATTAGCAACATTTATTTTTAAAATGTCACAAAACCTTTTTTGGTTTCTGTTTATTAATTATTCATCGTATCCGTGGGCAATTAATTTGCAATATTGTATTGAGCCTCGCAGAGAGCAACAAATGCTAATAATTCACAAGTGATACAATATTTGAGCATAACAGAGCAGTAAAAAATAAATTTCGCAATATAAATTCATTTCGATGCGAAATCACAAATTGAGTTGTTTATAAATGACATCGTGGCATAGGAGTCTAGGATAGGAGACTAGGATACGAGAATAAGATAGAAGACTAGGATAGGAGACTAGGATTGGAGAATAGGACTAGAGACTAGAATAAGAGCCTAGGATACGAGACTAGGATACGAGAATAAGATAGAAGACTAGGATAGAAGACTAGGATAGGAGACTAGGATAGGAGACTAAAATAGGAGACTAGGATAGGAGACTAAAATAGGAGACTAGGATAGGAGAGTAGTATAGAGGATGATTAGGAAATGATAGAACGTAAAGCACCATATGAAAAGGAATCATTCAAATCTTTCAAACCACGAACCTTAACAAGTGAACGACTCTAAAAAAAAAAGTTTTCATTGTAATAAAATTGACAAAAAAAAAGTCAAGTCTCAACTCATAAAACGTGTTACGACTGTTAAATAATTTTCTACTTTAAACTTCATTTCCTTTAAGTAATTTATATCATTTTAATTGCTCGCGTGCTGTCAGGAACTTTTTATTATAGTTCACATGATAGAACTATAAAAAGCATACTCGCAGTGTGAACATGATTGCCATATAAAAAAGAAGATCTGAATGAAAAAAAAAGAAATGTATTTTAATAATCTGTGCGAGTAATAAAAGCGTGCCTCTTGGGAGTAAGGAATGGAATAGAAATGATGCTGTGAAAAGGGCTGAGAATGAAGAAAATGTAAGAAATGATTTCAATTTAACGACTATTGAGACTTTCTCAATGCTCTGTATTTCTAATTTCTTTCATTTCTCATAGAACTTGAGCAGTCAAGTGAGAATTAAAATCTGCAAGCAGAGCATAAAATGAGCAACTCTTGTTGAAATAATGATGAGGAGAAGTCTTTGTCAATGGATGAAAAACTATCACACTTGTTTGAACGAGCTTGCATTTTTTTTCGAGAATTTATTGGGTCGTTGGATGTGATCTTGTGTAAATGTTTATTGAAATTCAGTGCACTTCAGTAGATTATGTAGAGTAAACAAATTTTAAAGAAAGTATTGAATAGGAAGCTTTGTTGTATTATACAAAACTAGATTGCAACAAGTGATGAAGCGTTCTTCTCTGTTACGAACAATTCATGTTCGACAGACTTATCGAAAGTCTAGGGGAGTTGTAATATGCACGTTCGAAAAGTTTAAATTTGAAAAAACCGTTACAATTTTAGTGATTTGAATGGAGTTTTTGATCGTTTTAAAGAAGATTTAGCTACATTATGCTTATCATTAAACGACTTCATAATATTTTCATCTAAATTTCATATCAAATTTGCTTAATTTAAGTTTTTATTTTTTCTTGATTTTCGAAAATTTCGAAATGCAGGGTATGAAACTTCGAATTTTGTATGGCAGACAGACAAAAGAGACAATTTCACAAGTTTTCTTGGAAACTGTAACGGTTGAAACTCTTGAATTGTGCGTATCAGGTTCTTCTGTATATATTTGGACATAATTCTCAAAAAACGATAGCACAAAGCACATTTTCTTGAACTTCGCTACACGTGCATTTGCCATCGAAGTCAATTTCTTTATGAAATAAAAATAAGACTCCAAAATAAATTGACATCCTTAGTCGTTCAATGACTTAACAAAAAAAAAAACAGCCAACAATCTTACATAACTGCGAGCAATTTATTTTTAAGTACAGAGATGATAACAATATTT